GTGCTTTCGAGGCAGGTGTGGTACCACTGAGCTAAATCCCTGGCCCTTATTTTTAATTTTTCATCAAAAGCAGTGCTTATTACAAGGTAAAGCCAAGTAATGTCTTAATCTGCAGATGCAGACAATCTGTGTGTCAAGCAGGGCCCCACTTCTGGATGCCCTCTGGGGTTTGGCTTCTCTGCTGGCCCGGGTGAAGAACACTGTGGGACTGCTTGTCCCTGTCCTGGCCCCCCACAGATCTCTTTTCCTGTACCCTCAAGCCCAGGTAGCCACACCCCTCTGGGAACCTGGCAGTGGCACTGTGAGCCCATGGACCCTCTAGGATTCATCTTGAGAAATTTGCGATGGAAAGTTTGGCCTCACTGCAACAACTTACTTTTTTCTTTTTCTTTTTCTTTTTCTTTTTCTCTTTCTTTCTCGCTCCTTCCTTCCTTCCTTCCTTCCTTCCTTCCTTCCTTCCTTTCTTTCTTTCTTTCTTTCTTTCTTTCTTTCTTTGAGACAACTTACTACATAGCAAGCCTAGCCTCAGACTTAACATCCTCCTGGCTCAGCCCTCTGAACACTGGAATTATAGGCATGCACCACCATACCTGGTTCATTGAAACATCTTTAAACAAAGAGGGTGTCTTTAAACTGGGGGTGTATCTCAGTGGTAGAGTGCATGCTTATAACACAGCACTCTGGGAGGCTGAGGCAGGAGGATCACAAATTCAAACCCAGCCTGGGCAACTTAGTAAGATCCTATTTATGTCTCAAAATATAAATAAATATCATCTCATTTAATCTTCTCCATGATCCAGTGAGACAGACACTATTCGTAGGCCCATTCTAGAGATGAAGAAGCCAAGCTTGACATGGGTATCTTGGTCTGAGCCACACAGATACTGAGTAGCAGAGTTAGGATTTGAAGCCTGGTCCATTTGATGGCAGAGCTCAGGATCTCAGTAGTGGAAAGAAGACTTCAGCAGTGTGATTTCGAGTGCCACTCGTGGCATGATCTGCTTGGTTATAGAGACCGGCATCCTAAGTGCATGACCTACACAAGCTTTCCCTGCAGCCCCTCTGCCAGGGCTTTCGGGGCTCAGAGACAGGAGGAGACTGGGCAATCAGGGCACGATGCAAGCTTGACAAGTACTCAGTCACTCTCTGATGTTTCAGACAAGGAAAGTGAGGTCTGGGGAGATTAAGTAAAACACACCCTGTCTGCAAGTACAACATGGGTATCCTGGCTCCCACAGCACTTAGAAAGTGGGCTGTTCTCTCAATCAGCAGGCCAAGGCTCTGCGAGATGCCCTGACTGACCAAGCTGTGTGGAACCGGGACTCAATTCCTTGAGGTCCACCACGTGCTTCAGTAACCGCGGGATGCTAAACCCATGTCTGAGGAGTCCCTGCTCTTCAAACCCTTGGAGGATGAGTCAATCATAGGTGTTGGTTTCCCAAACGTGCCTTAGTGGAAGAGTCATCTGCGACACGTGTTACAAATGAGGCTCTCGTCCAGCTACCGGTCTTGTCCTGGTCAACTGCTTTCAATCTTGGTCCAAATAACCCCCAATATGTTGTTCTTCCCTCCCTTCCATGAACTGAAAGGCAGTCTGTTTAGACTTGGTGTCTCTTAGGGATGGAGCACAGCATCAACCACCGCCTTCCTGCTTTCATCCGCAGTGCTGCAGCGGTGTCCTCTAGGGGGCAGCAATGAGCCATGTGTGCATTCTCTGGGGCTGACCTTTGAGACTTTCCCAGACTTTCCCAAGAAAACAAAATAGCCAGAGGGGGCCAGAAAGGAAGCAGACACTACACACGCTTTTCTCACTAGGTTGAAATGTGATCCAGAATCCTCTATGAGACAACATGCCCGTAAGAACTCAGGCTCTGAACTCAGAGACCCAAGTTCAAATCCAAAGTCAAACAAGTGTTTGAAGAACACCTCCCATCCTTGTGACCCTAACTGGCTATTTAAATTCATCAAGCCTCCGTTCCTTGTTCTGTACAACGGAACAATACAAGCCTAACAGGATTGTCATGAGCCTTCTACTGTAAATGGTAAAAAGTCAGCTGCTATTATTACTTCAACTATTCCAGCTGCTCTCTCTAAAGACATATGATTATGGTAGATTCTACTTTCTTCCATAGGTAGCTAAAGCTTCCTAAACAAGCATTCATTCGGCTCACTCTCTTCTGAGCTCTATCATAGGATGACATTTCACATGCTGGGATAAATACATAAATAACAGAGGCCACAGTGACAGAAGGATACTTGTCTTCCTTTGAGTTCCGATAGAGATCTGAAATGTCCCCACCAAACACTTATGTGCTCAGAGGTGAAGGGGGCAGGTGACTGGGTCGCGGGACTCTACTCATAAGTGGATAAATTCACTGATAAATCCACAGCCACATGTGCTGCTAGGAGGCGGGGCCTGGTGGGAAGAGGTGAGGGCCCTGAGGGTGGGCCCCTCCTCCCCCCTCCCCTCCCTCCCCTCCCTCCCTGGTTCCTCCCTTTCTTCTCTGCTTCCTGACCCCCAAGATGTCAGCAGCTTTCCTCCACCAAGTGGAAGACCACCTGACCTCTCTGCCATACTGTTTCTGCCTTGGATCTGGCTGACCATGGACTGAAACCTTGAGCCAAAGTAAACCTTTCCTCCTTTAAGGTGTGGCTGTCAGGTATTTTGTCCCAGGGATGAAGAAAGTGACTAAGACACTTCATGAAAGCAAACCCATATGCTCCAGTGTTGGTCCCAGTTGGCAGGAGCCTCTTGTTAGAAAGATCAGGAGGGCCAGGGATTTGGCTTAGTGGTTCTGCCACTTGCCTTGCAAGCACAAAGACCCGAGTTTGATCCCTGGTACCAAAAAAAAAAAAAGAAAGAAAGAAAGATCGGGGGCTGGGGATTTAGCTCAGTGGTGTCGCCGCCTGCCTCGAAAGTGCAAGGTCCCGAGTTCGAGCCCTGGTACCAAAAAACAAACAAAAGCATATTAGAGGGCTGGGGATTTAGCTCAGTGGTTCTGTTGCCTGCCTCACAAGCGCAAGGTCCTGAGTTAGATTCCCAAGTTTGATCCCTGGTACCAAAAAAAAAAAAAGCATATTAGAAAGATCACTGGATCCTCTGCCTCTGTGTTGTCCCCAAGATTTTCCTTCCCCTGGAGATTCCTCTCTCATCTCACTTGTAGCTTTGCCTGGAACAGCTAACAGAGGTCAGAAGAACAATGATGGTGGCAGCTACAATTTGTTGAGCCCTTCCTGTGAGCTAAGTGCTTGTTATGGGTTCTGTCCTTCCATTTCAGCCTACAATGTCATTTTACAGAGCGGAAGTAGAAGTGCTTGCTGGCAGTAAGAAACTTACTCAAGGCCTCTGGGGTAGTCAGTGAAGGAGTTTAGGTTGAAATCCAGCAGTCTGACTCCCAGCTGAATTCTAAATCACGCAGCTCTGAAGGAAGTTGAATGAATGCAAGCCGTGCCGTCTACGTCTTCCAATCCTCACTTCCTTGGGAGCAGTGTTAAAGACCAAGGCCCTTGGCAATACCTGTTTTGTCCAGAAGCTTGACTACAACCAAGCTCCCTCTGTCAAGGGGTCAGTGGGCCTGGGAACATCATCACGCAGTGAGGGAGCTGCACTCCACAGCCATATTCTTCACCGTCTCCTACTCTGCTTCCGCCCTCCTCTCCCATGGCAGGCTCCCCCCGCTGTGGGAGGCACGGGGAAGAACCCCTCTCTGCTCCCTGGGTGTGGCCCTTTGCAAATGCTCTCAAGCATGGAGAAGGGGTGCATAGCTCCTCTGAGGTGCACTTAGCTTGCAGTGTCTGGCACGGTGGGAAGAGACACCTTTGAGGTCCTCTCCGACAAACAGCCTTGCCCCAAGCACAAATGCTGCTCCTTCTTGTCTCTTCAGTGCCTTGTTTCATTGCCACTGTGAATGCAACACTCCACCCGGCAAGTAAAGACATGATCCTTGGCCTGGAGATGAAGAATCTGTCACAAAGGAAATTGAGGTGTTGAGGTTTCTTGCTTCTGCGCTGAGAAAAACCCCAACTGCCGACAAACCTAAAAAACAATCGCCCAAGGACGCTGGAGGGGGCTGGACAGCAGCAGGCTGATTGCAGAAATAAGATCACAAGATGTCCGGGGCACAGACACGGAGGACAGAGGATGAGAAAGAGAAGGCTTGTGTAGAAGAACAGGGATGCTTGAAGCTCAGGAGGAAAGAGGCCAGCGTGGTGTTGTTCACCTGCTGGGGCAGGTGAGGAGGAGAGAGGAGGAGGATGTGTGGGAGCGGATCTGAAGAGAGGGCTTCTGTGTCCTAAAAAGGAGGAAAGAAACAGTGGCAAAAGAAAAGCACATATAGAGCCAGGCCTGGTGGTGCACACCTGTAATCCCAGCACTTGGGAGGCTGAGGCAGGAAGATCACCAGGAGGCCAGCCTAGACTACACAGTGAGTTCAAAGCCAACCTAAAGTACATAGTGAGCGCCTACAAAAAGCAAATGTTGCAGAGATTCAACAGGATAGGAATGTCCCTTATCCACGTGCTGACCCTCGGGACCTTCGTGACTCACAGGTCTAGGTGGTAGGTCAGGGCGGCTGTGGAGCCTGCCGCTGTTCAGGGACTTGTCCAGGTACAGCAATTTGTGGAGGAGGCGGAATGGAAGGAGAGGAGGAAACAAGGGCGGTTCAGGAAATATGTTTAAAAACTTAGCAGAAAGAGCAACATACTCTGCTTCCATTTATATAACATTCTAGAAAAGGCAAAATTACTCAGACGGAAATCAGGTCTGTGGCTACAGAGGCGAGGGACAAAGGGGAAGATTTCACTGCACAAGGGAATCGAGAGACCTTTGGGGTGACGGTTACCTGACTGTGGAAATTGGTCCAAATGCCTTGAAGTGAATACTTGCAAAGGTGGATTTTATTGTAAATCGTGGCCCCTATACCTAGCTTGAAAGCAAAGTTGCCGGAGGTGTGAGACATCACACACTACAACCCAGGTGTGTATGAAACGAGAGAGCTCAGCGTTGTGGAGCCGACCTGTAATCCTAGCACTCTGGATTGCAAGTTGGAGCCCAGCCGGAGCGATTTAGCAATTAAGCAAGATCTTGCCTCCAAATAAAAACATAAAAAGCGCTGGGGAGAGAAGGAGCGAGGGACAAATCCTTTATTCTTTAGGATGGTTATAAACTTTTCCTGTTCTCCTTTGCACTAATATTGAGAGTTTAAACCTGACAAAGCAAGCCGGTCTCTTCTGTTGTAAATTAGTTTAGATGAATCCAGTCTCTTTTGTACAGATATTCAGTCGAATCTCCACCTGGATTGTTACCATCTCTATACATGCGTCCCCCTCCCCATCTGAGGCAGAAGTCTGGGGCACCCGAGACGGCCAGAGAAGTAGGCGTGACCCAGGACACTTCCGAAGCGCAGTTCTCACATCCCTGAGAGCGGACTTCTCGCGAGAACTCAAGCAGGTTTTCCATAGGGCAGCTGGACCTGACTCAGCTGAGGCGGCAGATGGAAAAGGGCCGTGGACCTTGAGGGCTCTTTGGTGCTGTCCCTCTCACAGTAATCCCCCTCACGCTGTAGAGGACACCTTCTTTCCTACTTTTTCTTGGCCTAAATTCGCTCTGCAGAGCCTGTTTCTCTTCCTCCCTTTAATAAATATAAAACCGTGTTACTGTTTGCGCTTGTCTTGACCAAGTCTTTGGGCTCAAGACAGAAAGAACCTAGACACCACCTCTAGAAGGAGACTCCAGCACCCCAAACCTGACACACAACCACCTGTGCATTCCTGGGGGTTCTTAGGAACTTCTGGGTTTCTCCTGGGCCATACTCGAGCCGGGGTGAGGCGGGGGGAACCCCAGGTCCCTCTCCCAGACTGGACTCACCGTGGTGCCTCTGCCCTCTGTGCAGGAGGGCAGGGACCCTCTGCAGGAGCTGCTCGGGGAGGATCGGGCTCACACGGTTCTCACCTCTGGCACGCTGTTGCAGCTGTTCTCACCACCACTGGGGTTTGGCATGGTGACAGCAGTGGTGTCCGATCCACCCTCACACCCCGCTCCCTCCTGGCTACAGAGGCTCTGCGTGTCCTGTGTTCCAGATCCCACCGGTCCTCATGTCCTGTCTTTCTCCGGCCCCAGGACCCTAATCCTGTGAGGACACAGCTCATTGATAAGGAAATGCCTGCCAGTGGGGCTGAGCAGCAGGGTCTGCTCCCGCAGGGCCTTCAGAAGTTAGGTTATTCCCAAGGGAGTGTTCTAGCTGGCCTAAAAGGGGTCTCTTTGAGAGTAATGCGTGTCTTCCAAATGACAGAGTCCCCATCACCAAGAAAGGCAACCCAGGCTCCATTTTCTTCCCCCCACCCCGAGCCTCTTCCTCCTTTCTGTTTCTAATCAATACCAGCGCTCAGCTCAGAAGATGAGACCCTTCCTCAGACCTTGTCTTATTTTACCTTCCATACCTCACCCATCACCAGCCCTTCTTCCGGCTTGCAGCATGCCTACTTCTGTCCCTGCCTCCCTTCCCCAAAGCCCGGAACAATGGTGCATGCCTGTGATCCTAGCACTCAGGGAGGCTGAGACAGGATGATCCCAAACTTGAGTCCAACATGGGCAATTTAACAATTTACTGAGACTGTCTCAAGACAAAACAAAATAACAAACAAAAGGCTGGGATGTTGCTCAGTGTGAAGGCTCTGAGTTCATGCCTCACCATCACCCCCCCCCCACACACACACACGTGAACCTCTAGGTCCTTGTGCCAGTGTGCCATGGCCCCTGCCCACCTCTGGAGACCAATCTCCTTCCCTGTTGGGAAAGGCTGGGTCCTGGCTGTGCCTCTGCACATGCTGCTCGGTCCCAGCGTCTCCTCACCTCTTGTCTTCAGCTCAGAGTCCCTTCTGCTTGAAGTCTTTCTCAAGTCTCCAGCACAGACCTTTTGCAAAGGAAAAGAGAAGTAAAAAGAATTAAAATGTATCGTGTACATGTAGCAACTCCTCACCATGAATGTAATTATGCACTTCAAACATATACTAATAAAAACAAAAAAAATTTTTTTGAGATGGTCTCACTATGTGGCCCAGGCTGGCCTCAAACTCACTGTGCAACCAGGGCTGGCAGGTGATCTTCCTGCCTCAGTCTCCCTAGCGTTGGGATTACAGACATGAGCCACCACACCCAGCTAAAAATATTTAAAAATTTATTATAGAAAAAGAAAAAAACTCTGTGCTTTGAGTTAGCATAGTACCAACTAGGTCCATGAGGGCACTTACCACATAGACTTGGGTCACAGTGCCAGGCTGCTAACCTGGAGTCAGTGATGGGGAGGAGGAGCCTCAGTTTCCCCAGTAGGTAGCACACAGCTTGTCTCAAGCCAGCCCAAGGCTAAATATTGAGCAAAAGACCTCGGTGGTGATCAATGTTTGTCTTTTTCCAGTGAGTCTGAGAATAGTGATTGGTGACAATAACTACACCTGGTGCCTTCTACTTTGCAGAGCCACAAGCCACAAGGGAAGAGCTAGGTAGGCCAGCCAGGTGTGGGCAGGGGTTAGTGAGAAGTCGCTAGAGGTGGAAACTTAAATCAGGGCTTGGTATGACATATGCTGGAGCTGGAAAATGGGTCAACTCGGCAAAGGGTATTTTGTAAAAACCCTTGTTCCTCTCCCCTGCACTGTAGGGATGATGTTACAATGTCAGCACACGCAGCTGGCACCTGCGTTGTAATAACAATGCTGTGAATAAATTTAAATACAGGCCTCATTTATTCTCTCCTGATTTGTTTGAGGCTCAGACAATGTATCCAGCCTGACTGCACTTCCATGATCGTGGGGGTATTTTATTTGTATTTTGTGACTGAAAAAGCAGCTGCACTGAGGAAGGGCTCCTCTTATTCCTTCCTGGAGATACCACGTGGAGGGGTAAACAGAGTGTGTGGCACTGTGGCCTCCAAAGGGCACGACTTAGGGAAAGCCACATGACTGCCCCCAGCCTCAGCTTCTCCCTCTGTAAGCCTAGAGTCAGGCTACCACTGGACTGGGCTGTCGTGGGAATGGAAGCAAGCACAAGGGCAGTCACCAGCAGGGGGGTAAATGCACTTCAGGAGCTAGAATACCTGGGTCCAGACTCCTGTCCCACTTCTTGAAAGGATGTGAGCCCAGATAAACTGCTGATTGTTTTCTGCCTCTCAGCTTCTGCTCCTCTTCGGTCCCACCTCTCCATTTGCCACTTGGACAGTGCCCGCTGGCCACATAGCTAACAACCCTAAAGTATAAGAGAGTAAAAACTGAGCAGGGGTCCGGTATGCCACACACTGGAGTTCCTTTCTCCTTTCCCTTCGAGAGGGAGCCCAAATTCTGCTCATCTGGACAACTTCCACTGAATGCACATGACCTTGGCTGGTGGTCTTCAGCCTAGCCCTTGCGATAGATTGGAGAGACCAAGTCCTCCCTTCCCCTATACATAAATAAACTCTCCCTCTTGCTCACCAGAGTCCTCCATCCCCATGCCTGACGCCTCCGGAATAATAAAGGAGGCCCGGCCCAGGCATGGAGCTGTGATCCACACTGTGGCCTGGGCCCTGGCTCTCAAATCCTCTCTGAGGCCTGTTTGGACCTGTCAGCTCGTGGGTTTATTAGTCTCAACTCACTTGCAGGACTCTCAGCTCTGCATACCAACTGGTCACCTCCCAAGTCTGACACACCCCAGGCTTAGGGCACAGCCCTGGACCAGGTGGAAGGAATCAGGTAAGATAAGCGCCAGACTCTGAATTTAGAAGAAAGTGAGCCAGAATTCTGCTGGCCATAAGCTGAACACAACAGCAAAGGTTTGTGGGTCCTGCTTCTCTGTCTCTTAGAAACCTTCTACCTTTACAGTTCCAGGCCCAGGATCCCATGTGTAGAAGAATCCTCAGAACTCACCTGGGCCCGGTTGTCCCTTACTGAAGAAGGGGGCTGCACCCACCACTGCATCCAGACAGATGACCCTGGCCCTGCCTCGGTGTGCTCTGGAACAGACTGCACCACCTTCTGCCCCTGCTACGCTATTGCCGCATTTCCCAGGCTTGAAGTCCAGCTCCTGGGTCTTTGGCCCCATACTTACTGCTCAGTGTCAATAGGAGCTGTTAGCTGCTCACTTCTTCCCCAGGCTTCTCCAGCCACAGCCTCATGATTTCTCACAGCATTTCCAGCCCTCATTCTTCCCAGGATCTCCTCTCAAGTTAACAGAAAAGCCACAGGAACAATAACATTAAAGCCAGAGATGCTTAGGGAGCATCCATTGTGTTGGCAGCATCCGGCCAGGTGCGGGCTGGGTGGGGACAGAGGTGTCACACCTGGTCACTGACCTCAGGGAGCTGCCAGCAGAGGGAAGAGGGAGACAGGCTGACGCTCACAGCCACAGGTCGGCAGAGGCCCCTGCTGTCTGCCCGAACCTTTCTTAGCTGGGATATCTAAAGGCTGCAAGGGTCCTTCAGGGGGAACCAAAGTGTTCTCAAACTGACCATGACAGTTGCCCGATTCTGACTATTCTAAAAACCAGCAAATTACGCACTGAATGGGTGAACTGGAGGATGTGTAAACTACTCTCAAGCCCTTTAAAAGTTTGGAAGTGTAACATTTAAATAAAATCTGTCCTCTCTTCCTACCTTGAAAAATATTCGTTCCTAATGAGCCGGAAGTCCCCGTTTGAAGCTGGAGTCTCCAGTGTCCCTGGAGTTCCACAAGGCAACATGGCAGCACAGGGAGAGCACCTCGTGCCCTCCCCCGTGTGTCCTGAGCCTTAAGAGGCCTGTGATGAGCTGGGTTGGTAGTGCACACCTATAATCCCAGTACTTTGGAAGGCTGAGGCAGGAGGATTACAAGTTTCAGCCTAGCCCGGGTAGGCAATTTAGCAACTTACTGGACTCCCTAGTCAGGGGTCTGCCTTTGAGAGGTCAGACCCAGGGCAGACACCATTATAGGCCCAAGTGGACTAGAGGCCTTCTGACCAGGGAATTCTGGTTGGGCCAGAGCAGTGCCATCCTATAGAACACTGTGGGATGCCAGGAATGTTCTGTCTACATTGCCCAATTAGCCTCAGATGACAGTTGAGCACTTCAAATGTAGCTAGTTTACTTGAGGAACTGAATTTAAAATTTTTAAATTTAATTTTATGATTATTTATGTATTTATTTTGACCTCTGTGCTGAGCTGCATTTATAACCTTTTTAAATTTTTAGGTTTTTTTTTTTTTTTGAAGTGACTACCCGTGCCTAGTGGCTACCATATTGGATAGCATAGGCCCACAGGCAGGCAGGGCTCTACTAGAGGCATCCTGTCAACTCTGCTGACCTTATCCCTCAGGAGGGAGAGGCGACAGCAGGAGGAGGATCAGAGCAGGGCTCCCAGGACCAGGGAAGTCCATGCAGGGGGCAGGAGACTTGTTCTCAGAAGGAAACTGCCTTATAAGGGAGCCTATTCCTGCCAGCAGCAAGGCCTCCTGGTCCCTGAGGACAGGGAGACAGATGGCTATAAGCTGGGAGAGGAGGAATGATTTGAGGGCACCCCAAACAAGTCTTCCTGAGATTTTTACAGGGACCTGTTTCACACAAGAGGCCTGCTCTGGTAGTTCAGGCCTTCTAGGCCTGTGGGTCTTGGCAGAGAGGGCCAGCTCTGTTATTTTTTCTTCCGAGGCCATGTGAACGGGGCAGGCTGTGTGCATAGTTTCCATGGCATAATCTGGCTCTAAACCCTTGTATGTCTGTGGGGGAGGGAAAGGAAAGGCCTCGCCTGGCCCCACTCACTTGCTCGGCTCTGTTCCTGGTGCAGGCGCAGGAGGCACATTCCCTCCCCATTCCTGCAGGGTCCCCCGCGTGGGCAGGGGTGGCTGCGCCTGGCTGCCCGGAACTGTGGGAAGCTCATTTGGTTGCTGATGGGGCGAGGGCGTTGGCTCTTTCAGACGCCTGAACATGAGGTAGAGGAAAGATTATCTCCCTAGAACTGGGCCTGGCTGAGCTCAGGCAGAGCACAGGATGTGAATTCATTGAGATGCAAAGCAGCAACAGGCAAACCAGGGCCTCCTGTCTGTGCTCACAAGTGGCTCCCAACTGGGACGCAGGCAGGCCCCATCCCTGAGGAGGACAGGAAGAGGATCATTTCCCTGGAGCAATTTGGGGGAGGTTCATTAAACACCTTTCTCTATTGGACTGAGGAAGCCTCTAAAAAAAAAAAAGGCCTTCTACTGGCTTCCTAAAACTGTAGTTTCTTGAACAAAAGCCAGGGACACAGAGCAAAGGCTGATTTTATTAAGCAACTACGAGGTACCAGGCTCCATGTTTTGCTTTTCTGATTTCGTTGGGAGCAACGTAGATACCAGTGGACCAGACAAACAATTCATTCAATCCTCCCAGCTCTCCCTATCAATGGAGGAAGGAATCTATGCTTTATCTGTATTGCCCTAAATCACTCAGCTAGTAATTATCTCAGTGGGTATTTGAACCCAAGCACTTCTGAGTGAACACCCCTGTTCTTTAGCACCATGTTTCCTGACCATGTTCTAGATGTGGGTTTTGTGAGGGTGCTTTCCATGGCCTTTGAAATGGTTCCACAGCTCTGAGTTACCCCGCTGGTCCCAGAACTGCCACCCCCCCACCCCCCCGCCATTTCCCTTTTCTGCCTTGGCTCTTTGGGGTTTCCAGCCTGGAGAGAGTGGTTGTCCCTTTGCCTGTTTTGAGTTTGTTGTGACGGTGCTGGGTGGCAACCCGAGACAATCAGGCCTTTCTGAGAGGCGGACTCTGCCACAAGCCTGAGGATGCAGCAGGCACACACAATGCCCTCTCTCTCCACCAGCGCAGAAAGGCACATTAGTACAGGTCAGGTGACATTTATGGTCTGCACACCCTCAAGAGCCCCTCCCCGGCCAGTGGGCACAGCCAGAGGCTGGACAGGGAGGGGCCCCACAGTCTTTCCCCTGAGTCCCGCCTTGCTTCTCCCAGGTCAGACTTGGTCCCCCCTCCCCACAGGTGGTTCCTTCCCCCCAGCCCGGGTCTCACGGGAGGCTGTCCTTTCCCACGCTTCTGGGAAGGGCTAGGGGTGAGTTCCATGGTAGGGCACTTGCCTAGCATGCCTGAGGCCCTGGGTTCATCCCAAGCACTGCAAAAATAAATACACAAACCAGTAAATTGCTTCTGGGAAAGCACGGCACCAGGCGGCACCAGGCACAACAGGCGACTTTCTCTTTTGTTTTTCTTTCCTGGCATCTCCTGTTTGGACTCTGTGCAGGTTGGTAATTTTGATAGAGACCCCGGCAACAGCTGTGTTCTTCATAACAATAACAGTCACAGTTTACTAAGCCCTTAGCATGTGCTGACATCTGGCCAAAGCCACAGAATCCTAACAACATCCTGGGGTTGGGGTGGCTTGTACTAGAACATCCTAAAAATCAGCCTCCTGGAACTCGAGGCTTTCCCAAGGTGGCGAAGCTCCATGCTGAACCCGGGAGCCAGACTCACTTAACTGTTTTGACCATTCTATTAGGGCACTTGTGTTTCTTTCCTAGGGCTGCCCTAACAAAGTCCCCAAAGCTGGGGGACTTAGAACATTTGCATTTACTGTCACCTGTGCTGGAAGGTAGAAGTCTGAGATCAGAGTGGGGCCGAGCTGTTTCCTTCTGAGAGCTTGAGGGAAAATTGGCTCCATGCATGTCCCCAGTTTCCAGTGTTTGGGGGTAACTTTGGTGCTCCTTGGCTTTTAGAGCCATCACCCTGATGGTTCCTTCATCTTCACAAGGTGTCCCTGAGTCCAAATTTCACCCCCTACAATTAGGAAACCAGTTATAAAGGGTTAGGGCAGACCTGATAACTTCATTTTATTTATTTATTTATTTTTGGTACCCGGAATCAAACTTAGGATCTTTTGCTTGCAAGGCAGGCGCCGTGCCACTGAGCTAAATCCCTGGCCCAGACTTCATTTTAACTTACTTACTTACAAAGACTATTTCCAAATAAAATTAAATTCACAAGTACTGGGGAGTTAGGACCTCACCTTTTTTTTTCTCGAAGCAGGGTCTTGCTATGTAGTTCAGGATGGTCTTGAACTCATTATGTAGCCCAGTCTGGCCTCGAACACACACACACACACACACACACACACACACACACACACAGAGCCTCGGCATACTGGCAAGGATAGCTATAATCAGGACAGAGTCTGAACTGCTATCTTAACATCTGGGCCCCATGGAGAGGAAACAGCACCACCATCTGCCTCGGCCATGCCAAACCCTGGGGCAAACACCCCTCACTTCCCTCCCCCATTGCCATGACCTGCCTTGTCCCATGTCACTGTTCCTTCTGTTGGTCCCAAGGGCCACCTGCACTCTGAGTTGGGCAGAGGGAGTGGCTTGTGATGTGGACTGTGCCATCCACTTCCATTCAAGTCACTGACCTGGCCCGTCACGGCTCCTGCTGGGCCTCACCTGCCAGGCTCCACTCATTTGGCCTGGGGGCGGGGAGAGGCCTCACAGGCATGGGGATGCTGCTTCCCCTCGGTGATGGGGTTCTTCCAGGGCGGGCGGGCCTCTGGGGCCTCAGGGCACACACTCACACACATTTTACTGAGTGAGGTCACACAGACAGTCCCTAATTTTTGATGGCTTGACTTGTGATTTTTCAACTTCACAATGACATAAAAGTTACACGCATCAAGTAGAGATTGTGCTTAGAACTGTGATCTTCCCCAAGCTAGCAACATACAGTACTGTCCTTCTCAGGATGGTGGGTGGTGGCAGGGAGCAACACAATCCCCAGGGGAAAACGCCCAACCTCTCCTGTGTGCCGAGTTGCACCGTGTGATGTCCGGAAGATGAGGGTGCTAAATGCATCGTGGACCTAGTGATATTCTCAGCTTTGTTAGGATGTAAGCCCATCCTAAGTTGAGGAGCATCTGAACTTTATATGATCACACAAGTTCACAACACACGCACCTCACACAGTCACATGTACACATACGCTCACTTTATGGTCACACATATTTGCACATACACATGTGTTTTACCTACATGTTTGCACACAGTTTACACAATACATGTTCACACACATGCTTTGTGCAGTCTGACCCTTGCATGTCCACACACTTGCTTTAGATGCCATCGGAGGCCCACACTTACACTCATATAGACTTACACACTCACACATGTGCACACATTCACTTAGGCACTTGTTTTATTTCTCTGAGTCTTCTTTCTTTCTTTCTTTTTTTTGGGGGTACCGGAGATCAAACTCGGGACCTTGCGCTTGAGAGGCATGCGCCGGAACCACTGAGCTAAATCCCCAGCCCTCTGAGTCTTCTTTCTGAGATGGAAAATTGAGATAGTTACCCATTTCACAGAATTGTGCTGGAATTGGAAAATGGATTTGAAAGATTAGCATAAATAGGGCATTTGTTATTTATTTCAAAATTCAATTTTATTTACATATTAAAATAAATAACACACAGTCACATGATTTAAAGTTCAGAAAGTAGGAAGGTAAAGATTCCTTCCTACCTGTCCTTATATCACATAGCTCCCTTCCAGACAACCAAATGTTGCCGGATTCTTTTATTTCTACCAGGAGATACTTTTACATATGCAAATAACTATATTTTATTTACTACTGTTCTTCTTCCTTTTTTCCCACAATGGCCCAGGCTCTGTGCCTTACTTTTCTTGCTTAACAATATATCTTAGTGTTCCTTATCAACAGCATGTAAAAGTCTTCCTCATTGTTATATTGGCACACTGAATTCCATTAATTCCATTATATGGAGTGTGTCATTTATTTAACCATTTGTCAATAGATGGGAGGTTTAGGTTGTTTCCAACCTTTTACCACCTCAGACAAAGCTGCACTGGAAAGTCTGTGTAGACATTCTTCCTCACAGGTATAAGTATGTCCATCAATATTGTAAATGCTGTAAAACAGACACCAAAAGTTTTTTCTCATCTGGGTCCCTCTTCCTCTTTTGCATCTACAAACTCTGGCCACTAGAAGTCTTCAGGGGACACATTGCAGGGCACTGGGCTGTCTAGTGCCCAAAATTAACCCCATTTACCCTGCTTTGGTAAATGGAGTTTCCTTTGATGCTTAGAATTTCAACTGGATTTTTTAGATGTGGAAGAATGGAGAAGAATATTTATAGACAGAAGCATATTTGCAAACCAAAGAGCACATCCCTCCTGGGTTGCCTATTGCTTCACTTAGAGCCTGTTGCTGTATACCTGTTGCTGTACTGCGGCTGCAGGTATCATGGAGACCAGACAGAGCAGGCTCTGCCCTCATGGAGCTGGCTATTGTGGGTAGAGTCAGATGCAAAGAATTCTCAAATGGTGCAATCAGTGAAGAAAAATCAAGGAGTCAAAAGAACACTCCTCAGCTTAGACAAATCCACACATTTCACAGCAGAGGGGCATAGCTTTGACTCCAGAGCTACCCCCAGGGTCTTCCTCCCACCCTCTCCCTCCTTTCCTTCACCTGCTCTAAGCACGGCGGGGTTGAGAGGTGTATGCTGCCAGCTGGGCACACCCAGAGCCATGGTGGCATCGAAGGCTTCTCCAACAGGCCTTGGAGAGCTGCTGTGTCATCCGTGGGGGTGGAAGGGAGACAGCGAGGAAAACTCAGCTGCTGAGCATGGGTCTTGCCAGGGAGGGCTGGGCAGCAAGCTGGAAGTCAGGGAAGAGCTGCCTTCCTCTCCTGGCTGCCAACAGGCCCCACCTGCCTGGTGCTCTGTGCTTATCCGAGTGGGTGCACCCCTTCCTGACACACAGGAAGGCAGTGATCTGAAAACACGCACTGCACTACCTCCTGGGATACGCTTTGAGGGCTTTATTAACAGCAAAGAAAAAAAACGCTAATTATAGAGGCCAGTAGACAGGTGGGAAGGT